ATTGAGTACCCATCATGAAGATCAATTTTGTTAATAAAACTTTTTGCTTTGTTTTTCTCACCAAAGAATGAAATAGTATTATTATCCCCTACAATAAGATGTTTCAAAGAAGATTTTTATTTCCAGTAAACCTGCTTTTCCTCTTGCATTTTGAGCATGGAATTCTTAGCCTTTTTCAAATTATTATAATTGATATTAGAAGGATTCATTTGACAAATACTCTCACAAAAAATGACATTCTCCTCAGCAGCAAAAATATTAGAAAAAAGATTTTTAAAAACATTTGTATTCCACCAACTAATTTTATATTTTAGTCTTTTGAGCATGAGCCACAATCTTGCCATACCAACGACATTATTATCAGGATGTAGAGGAGCCTCCCAATTCTTTTTAACCAAATCTTTGAAAGAGTTATCGAGCAACCACATTTTTTGAAATCTAAAAGTTGGAATAGTGCTATGATGCCTATAATTAATGCCATCAAGCATAGGAGAATGATCAGAGCAAGTTTTGCTTAAATGATCAATAAATGTGTAGATACTATATTTTATGCATAAATTATTAAAAAGCCCATAATCTAACTGTTGTCACAGATTTGCATGATTCCAAGTAAAAGGAGTACCATTGAAGCCAGTATCAACCAAATTACAGTCCATCATTATGCCATTAAAATCCTCCATAGATTGGTAAATTTGATTAGTGCCACCAAGCCATTAAGAAGGGTTAGAAATAGTATTAAAGTGACCACCAACTAACCAAGGGGAGTTAATTAAACTACTAAAGGTAGTAAGCTGATTCCATAAAACCATTCTAATAAAATGGGGAGAAAAACCATAAACAAAAGAAGCATAAAACTTAAACTGCATAAAATTGACTTTAAAGGCAAAACTTAAGAGAAATCACCAATGACATAAAAAAATATCAGTTCCTTCCAAAAAATCTAGATTTTTTTAGAAACGTTCGCTATACTGTGACTAAAACCAAGGACTCTAGTCATTTTGCCCAGCTTAGTAACAAAAATGAGAGATTCAGGTAGGTAAGGAAAAGAACATTATGACTACAGCACAAATTTTTAACCCTAATTCTCAAAGAGGGACAACATGTACCCCTAATATTCCAAATAATCACTTTAATCATTTGATTGCAGTTTAATGGAAGTTTGATAATGGGTATTTCTAGGAGATTGCACATTTAGGTTATTCATTTTCTTATTTTTCTTGCTGTTGAGTGAAATCATGTTTATCATTAGCAAAATCTTTAGAAACATTAGTAATATCATTTGCATCATGATTAATATTAGAAGAAACATTAATACTTATACCGTTAGCATCCTTTTGGCCCGTAGCTCTCTCGTCTAAACCATTTCCATTATTATGGTGAAAGATGCTATTGGCCTCATTACTAGCATGATCGGCCAACTCCACCTCCATAAATTCTACTTCTTCTAAACTCCCTTCTGAAATATTATCCTGGTCGTTGATCAAAGTATAATAAGAATTTATATTAGCACAAATATAATTAATTCCATAATAGTCCAAATCAAAAATATTTTTTGTTAGTATCACATGGCACATAAGAAGTAGTTTACATGGAATTTTGTCTAAAAGTAATTGCCACCATTTGCTCATCCGCATTTTGAACTATATTTATAACATGAAAAATAGATTCAAGTAAAAATTGAGGAGGATCATTAGATCCACCTACTTCCCTTGATATTTTATTCACGATATTCTTACTATCCTGTCTAGCATAGTTGATCTCTATAAGAAACACAGCATCCTCATTCCCTGAAATCTGAGGATGATTAACATGGTTGACCTGGGAATGTTTTTCCCTCGTTAATGGTTCCTATATTGGGTTAATGGTCTCATGAGATATCTGATCAACTAAAGCATTTTTATCCTTAGAAACTTTACCCGTATGCTTATTATCATGAGAGTGAGGGTGTAAAATAAAGCATTCTAAATTATAGTGGCCATGCATCTTACAGTAACTATATAAAATAGGAAAATTAATAAATTCAACTTTTTTTTTGAAACCCATTAACCTCCGACCCAATCTAGAATTCATTAGTATGTTTCTTAGAGATAACTATTTAAACCAATACATGAGGCACGGATGGATGAGATACTGACGCGGTCGTTTGGTCCATCTGTAAAGGTCTACAAAAAAAGGAAGCTAACACAAAAATAATTTGAGAAAAAAATGGAGCCTTAGGTTAGGAAAAGAAGTCCAAATAGGAGCTATAGGTGATTCCTTTCTCACATCAAAATCAGGAGTCCACTTAAGAAGAAACATTTGACAACCAAGAGTAAAATATGTTCTTCTAGAAAAAATACAAATTTAGTGTAAATCGTCATAGAGTTGTATCGCAATATAGTATTGATCCAACAATCCAATAGAAAAACTTCCAAAAAGTTTTAGCTTTAGAACGAACTTCTGAATCACATCAAGATTAGGTTGACAAAAAAAGAATTTACCAACCAAAGTAAATGAAAAGGGCACAGCTAAATGAGAAATAACTTTATGGTCAAACAACAAAGCTGACATGCCTTTAAAGGAAGTGTGAACCAAATCCAACTTTGCCGTTGTATAAGAAAAATGATCGGTAAGAACATTTTTAAAAGATAGAGATTTATTAGGGCCCGTCAAAGAGAATGATGGTTTCAATGATGATGGGGTCATCATCATCAAAAGCTCACAAAAAAGGCAATAAAATAATACCACATAATTAAAGAAATGATTAGATAAAGACAAAATCCAACAAAAAACAACATAAAAAAAGATCCACAATAGCTGAAATGAGGCTGTAATAGGGAAACCCTAGAATCATCGGAGTATCCCCAAAGCAGTGAAACACTGAGAAGCATTCTCGTAGGTAAATTATATGCTTAAATTTAGGGGTTGTAATTGATAGACAAAATGAGCTCAATTTTGTTTAAAATTTAAACTATGAGACAAGGATAGCCTGAGAGCCTAAGGTTTAATTAAACTTGAACAAATTAAGTATCAAATACAACTATACTTTTTTAAAAATTTAGTTAGGGCTACCTAAAACTATTATTGGAACAAAATCAATGGCTAACTAACCCTTGAATGATTATCTATGAATCCATAAGCAAAAATTAAAAAATTTCCTATGTATTCTATAGAAAAGGTTAATATGTCACTGTTTCAATTTGTGTTTTTTTAATTAAATCTTCATAGCTAGCATTATACCACCTTAAAAGATAGACTAATGCTTTACTCTAAATTTAAAAATAGAAATTATAGTTGTTTTCATTATCAAATTATGCATAGGAAATGTTAAATTCAACTCAAAAGATAAAATACAGAGAAGGGATGAGACCTCCGTCTCGTCTGTCAGTGATTGAAGGCAAGGGGAAGAAGGTGATTATGGAAGATGAATCAAATTTGAGACGTGATGATCGTGCGCGGTCAGATATTTTGAATCTTGATTTTAATAAATCTGGAACTGATTCGTCGAAGGATGGTGATTCTGTAAATATTTATGGTTCAAAAGAGGATCGGGATTCTTGCAAGTTTCAAGAAAGTGTGAATGATCTTGATCTTGGTAATAATCATGGTGTGGATCTGGAAGTTGAAGGATTGGTGACGGATAATGCAAAATCAGAAGGATGGAATGAGGTGGGTAATGCGTGGACCAAGCCGAAGCACATCAAGATTGAGTGGAACCGAGAAAAAGTAGAACTAATGGATGATGGGGTTGCTATTTTGCTGAATTCAGAGATGGAGGAGAAAAATAAACATGTATTGAGACATTCTGTGGTGATCAAAGTTCTGGGTAGCAATGTGCCATTCCCAATGTGTAGCTTGGAGCTGAGGAGACAATGGAGCAAGTATAGAGGCTTTCATCTAACCTCAATTGGAATGGATTGGATCCTTTGTTCTTTCAAGACGGAAGAGGTTGTGGAGGAAGTACTTAATGGTGGGCCATGGTTTATCGGAGGATACATTGTTGGTATGGATCGGTGGACTGCTGAGTTTGATCCTTACTCTTTCAAGGGGATCACCGCTCCTATATGGATACGATTCCCCTATTTGCCACTGTATTGCTGGGATGAAGAAAACTTAACAAGAATTGCGTCTCGGTTTGGGACGCCGATGTACATTGATGGTAATACATTCCGGTGGGGGAAGAGGGAGTTTGCTCGGGTATGTGTTAAAATTGATCTGGAGAAGAAATTACCAAATGGAGTATGGTTGGAAGGCTCAGTGGACAGGTTTTTTCAGCGGGTGGAATATGAGAAGGTGGATTTGCTTTGTTATCATTGTGGTCGTGTGGGTCAAAATAAAGATGAATGCCCTGATGAGGTTACTCAAGGGATTACAGATCAGACCTCTTCTAAAATGGTTGCATATAAGCCCGGGAAGACCATCCCTGAAGCCAATTATGGAATGATCAAATCAGAATACGGCCCATGGATGCATGTTCATTTCAAAAATAACCGCTTTGTCAAGGCATGGGGAAATGGGAGAAAATTGAATGAGAGAAAGATAAATAAGATGGGTAACGTGATGTCCAAACCTGTACAGAAAGCTGATCATATTGAGCTGAAGAAGGGAGATAATGTCAGTAATTTGAACGCTAGGTATGATAAATTGCCTGTTCAGAATAAGGAGGATGGTGGACGGCAGAATTCTGGTAAAAATTCTCATCCTATTGAGGTTAGTAACAGGTTTGATATTCTGATGGTTGATTCGGGCAATGAGCCCGTGAAGAATTATGAAGAGGGTGATAATGTTGAGGCATTGGAAAGACAGGGCACTGAGGAGATTAATGAAGGTGGAAACAATGCAGTTAAATTTGATGATATAGGTATGAAGAGTTCTGATGTGATAATTCAGAATGGGAGAAGTAAGGTTAAACTAGTCAAGGAGATCAGATCTTTGGGACCTATTGAAAAAGATCAGAAAAAGAAGAGAAGGGATGGAAGAGTGAATTCCATGAGTGGGGAGGGTCCCCCAATTAAATCTTAATGTCTACTCTTCTTTTTTGGAATTGCAGGGGGGCTAGGAAGAGGGAGGCCGCCTTGTATCTGAAGGAGGTGGTTAGAGAACAGGATGTTTGTTTTGTTGGTCTTTTGGAGACTAAGATGACTCATATTGGTAGGAAGGAGATTGATTATCTCATTGGGAATAATTGGGATTTTTTTCATGTCCCAGTTGTTGGCCTGTCTGGTGGTATGGTGGTGTTATGGGATAAGAGAATTGTCTCTTTTGTGGTCAAGAATACTTCTTCACAAGTAATATTGGAGGATCTGTTGATCCCTAGTATGGGCATGTGGAAGATTGCAACGGTTTATGGGAGTCGTTGTTGTAATGAAAGAGAGGAACTTTGGAGACAGCTTGAAGATGGTTTGAAGGAACCTATTCCCGCTATCATTGGTGGGGATTTTAATTGTATTCTGAGCAAGGAGGAAAAGAGAGGATGTAAGAGATTTCTTTTTTCCAAAGGGCCAAGGGAGATGAAGCAATTTATGTCAAAGTCAGATTTTCATGATGTTAGGAGCATTGGTCCAAAGTACACTTGGTGTAATAACAAAGAAGGAACCTCTCAGATTTGGGAAAGATTGGATAGGTGTTTGCTGAACTCTATTGCTCTTCAGAGAATCCCGACCGCTATGACTAGACATTTAGCAAGGGTGGCATCGGATCATAGTCCGATTGCCATTAAATTGGATGGGAAGATTCAAGTCAAGGGAATAATATCAAATTTGAAGATACTTGGAGGTCTTATCCAGTGACTAGAAGCATTGTTTTTCATTCTTGGAAGAAGAATGATTTTGGTGATCATAGTGAAGTCCTTCAAAAGAAGAATAGTAGAACAATGAAGGCATTGTTCTTTTGGAGCAAAAGCAAATGTAAAAATCTGAAGACTCTCAAGGAGGATTTGAAAAAGGAAATCATTGAACTCCAAAATAAAGAGGCTGATGGAAGTAACTGGACTAATGAGGATTTCATTTTGCTTAGAAATAAAGTACATGAACTGAATGTAACTTTGAATCGGTTGGATGCATGGTGGAATCAAAGGGCAAAGGCTAGATGGCATGAAGAAGGGGACAACAATTCGAAGATGTTCCACAACTTTGCTTCGGCTAGAAGGAATGGGAATAGAGTGGTTCAAATTAGAGATGTGAATAATATAGTTCATGTTGAAGAGGATGAAATAGAGAAGGTATTCACTCATTTCTTTGAAGCTAAATGGAGGAGCAGAAACTGTGATTTAAATGGCTGGCCCAATGATTGGAAAAGCAGAAATTAAGCCAAAGAGTTGTTGATGAATTGTGCTCGGAGTTTACAGTGGCTGAGCTGCAGACTTCAGTTTTTCAGCAGGGCAACAATAGAGCTCCAGGTACGGATGGAGTGACTTCTTCTTTCTATAAATGCTATTGGGATATTGTATGGAGAACGTTATGGGCAGCTATTAGGATCTTCCTTAATTCTGGCCGTATGAATAAGTCTTGGAAAGACACTCTTATTGTCTTGATTGCCAAAATCAAATGCCCGTTAACTCCATCTAATTACAGGCCGATTAGTTTATGTCAGATTAACTACAAAATTGTAGCCACTATGTTGGTTAATAGATTGAAGAAATGCATTTGTAATTTGATCACTGAAGAGCAAATGGCCTTTATGCCGGGTAGATCTATCTCTGAACATTGCTTGTTAGCACAAGAAATTGTTCATAAGTTTAAGTTCTCCAAGAACAAGAAGGGATTGATGGCATTGAAGCTTGACATGGAACAAGCCTACGATAGTATGGGGTGGCCAGTACTTGATCAGATCCTTAAATGGTATGGGTTTCCTTATATGTTCTCTAAACTTCTCATGGATTGTGTTGTAGGTGTGAGATTTTCTATCATGATTAATGGAAGGAACTCTGAGTGGATTGATGCTCATAGTGGCTTTCGGCAAGGATGCCCACTATCTCCTTATCTTTTCATCATGTGCTTCCAGTTGTTGTCTAATTCTATTGAGCAGAAGGGGCAGGATCTTGGTATTAGGGTCTCTCCTCGAGGTCCTAGGATTACTCATCTCTTGTATGCAGATGATGTACTCCTTTTCTCCCATGTGTCCATTTCTTTAGCCAAATCATTGAAGAAGATAGTCGAAGATTTTTGTAATTGGACGGGCCAAAGGATTAATGTCATTAAATCTCAGATCTTATTTGGGAAGTCAGCTGGAAACACAATTAAGAAGAAGGTGACCAGATTTCTTGGCTACAAGAATGTGAAGGAGATGAGCTACCTTGGGATCAAATTGTCCTTAAGAAGATTGAAGTTGGCAGATTTCCAATACCTACTTAGTAATGTGATGGATAAGCTCAATGCTTGGGGCAAGAAGACTTTATCTTTGGGAGGTAAGATTACTCTTATCTCTAGCTCCTTGTTGACTATGCCAAATTTTCTAGTAACCCACTCGTTAATTCCTAAGAAGTTGTTGTATGAGGTGGAGAAACTTTGTAGAAAGTTTCTTTGGCAAAAATCGGGTGGAGAGCATAGTTTACACCGTGGCTTGGGAAGAATTGTGTAAACCAAGAAGTTTGGGAGGTTTGGGTCTTCAATCTCCTTTGCTACGTGTTAACTCTTTGAGATCCAAGTTAGCATGGGATTTCTATCAAAAAAGTGAATCTCTTTGTTTCAAAGTTATCAAGCATAAATATGGAGAGGTCTTGAGGAGTGGAACACAGAAGAGAAATGCACGTCAAATGCTTGGAAAATCCTTTCTGATGGGGGAGGACAGCTGCAGAATATTACCAGATGGGTTGTGGGTAATGGTAATAATATAAATGTCCTTAATGATATTTGGGTGTTGGACATGAGCATTAACAAATGGCCGACTTAGGTAGATTGTGTTGCTTTGGAAGGGATGTGTGTAAGCCAATTGTTATCTGGTGAGGGGCAATGGAACTATTCGTTGCTTAAAGAAGTTTTCCATTCAGATTTTGTTATGTTGATTAGGAATGTTCAGATCATACCTAGGATGGAGGATCGGAGAGAATTGCTATGGATGATGTCGGGTAAGTCCATTTATGTTATGTCTTTTGAATATACCCTGAAGTGTAAATACAATTTTGATTATGAGGACTACTTCACATGGTTGTTTAAGCTTAAACTTAACAAGAAAGTCAAAATTTTCTGGTGGAGACTTGGAAAGTCTGCTATTCCCACACAGGTTTTTCTGCATTACCGAAGACTTGGATTGGATAAAAATTGTGTGAGGGGCTGTAATAGTATTGAAAGCTATGAGCACATTATGGTACATTGCAGTTACCTGATTGATGTAATAAAATAAATACAAGGTTGGGGCATTGGTATTCCTATTTTTCAAACTATTAACAGCTGTCTAGAGGAGCTGAGGATATTGTCCAACCATAAGCCTGGTATTGTGAAGATTTACTGCATTGTTGTGTACCTGTCCTGGAGAAATAGAAACCGTGTGAAGCATGGGAAATCTGCTTTACCTTCTTCTGTGACGGCTTCTAATGCCCTGGCGTTGGCTAGTACTAAAAGTAGTCCTTATCTTTCAAACTGGGGAACTAATCTCCTTAGGGAGTCTCATGAGTCTTGGTGCACTCCTCCGAAAGATTGGATGAAAATTAACGTTGATGCTTCCCTGCTTAGATCCAATTGTGCTGGAGTGGGGCGAATTTTTAGAGACCATAAGGGAAGGTTTATTCTTTCTTTTGGGGAGAAGAGGATTCATTGGGACATTTCCAAACTTGAGATGGAGGCTATTCTCTCGGTCAAAGACTATATTAGAAGTTGGATGCTTGAGTACAAAGGGGTGATTATTGAGAGTGATAATCTCAATGTTATTAGATTCATTCAAGTTTCATTCAAGAAGAATAATTAGATTGAGGATAGACGGCCTTTGGAGGAGATTCTCTTTGTCAATGACTTTCATAAAGTGGCTTTTAATCATGTTCATAGAAATTGTAATAAGGTGGCCAACCTTTGTGCTACCATGGCTAGTAGTAGGAGTTTTTTCTTTGATAGCTTTTCTTTTAGTAGCATTCTTTTCAAGTGTAATTAGCTTTACTTTTTCCTCTTAATGCAAGTTTTGCAAGTCTTAAAAAAAAAAAAAAAAAAACAAAAACTCAAAAGATAAAATAAACTATGCACAAATAAAAATAGGTGGATGTCCACTGATTAACTTAAATGTTTCTTTAAGTAAATTCATATATTTGAATATTATACGACCTCATTAGAAAGACTAATACAGGAGTATCAATTTGAAAAGAGATAATATTTATTTTCATGATCAAACACATCATATGAAATGTGAAATTAAACTCAAAATAAAAATTAAACTATGCACACATAAAAATTAGTGGATGTCCATTGATTTACATTAATGTTTCTTTAATTAAATCCATATAGCTGAATATTATATTGCCTCGATCAGTAGACTAACGCTGGACTATCGATTTGAAAAGAGATAATAATTATTTTCATGATTAGACGCAACATAGGAAATGTTAAATTCAACTTGAATGATAGAAGTAACATTAACCAATGATTTTAAAAAAGAAACTAACCAAAGAGCAAGGCTGAGTCTATGTCTAGAGATTTTTCACTTACTTTAGAGGACTAAAGTAGGGTTTATTTTAAATTGGATTCCTAATTATCTATAGAGGAAAGCTTGTATAGTTAATTATATATCAAGACAAGTCTTGAGGAAACTCATGATTAAAGTAGAGAAAAAACTTCTTAATTTAATGAATATTTAATCAAGAAGTTGAGTTTCTTTCATCTACAAAGAAAATGAATAGAAATTTAAAATTGAATTTTTAGTTTTACTATTTAAGAGAAATCTTTAAATTTATATTTATAATTTAGATAACCCTCCCGAGAAGTAAATTTTGAGGGGGTTTATGCAATCCAAACTTATGTTTAGTTGGAGTGCACTATTGTTTGGTTTAAAAAGTGTTGCTCAAGTTTTGAAAAAAATTTTTTTTTTTTGAAAGATTAATTGTTAAAATTTTAGTTTTGAAATCAAACTCTTCATTATGATTGATATACCACCTCAAGAGGTAAACATATCATTCTCTAATGGGTTGAAATTACAAAACTTTAAGTTTATCCTGATTATCATAGACAAACTCAAGGGAAGACAACATATAATCCTGGAGGATCAAAATGATGTTTGATCAAATGTTTGACTACAATAATACAGATATATGATCATTAATTTCATAATCAAAATTTTAATAATATAATGACATATTTTTATAGAGATAGAAGATATTGCTTTTTATTAATCATTTCAAAATGGCAATAATGATTATTAAATTTGATTTTCCCAAAGATAATTAATTAAAGTTTTAATTTTTTTATTTTTGATAAATTAATTTGGGTTTCTTAATCTCCTATGAGCGTAAGCCATTGTAGTTAATTACATCATAGGAAATTAGAAGTCCCTATAAACACACTCAATTAAAATAGTGTTAAAAATTTTATTTAAAATTTCAAAGTTTATTATCAAAGGAGGTAAGGAATAGAATTTTTAATCAAGATCAGATCAAATTTGAACACTTATTTTTAGAATCAAAGAAAGATGGGTAGGATGTATTTTATGATTCTAAATCACTTTGAAAACACCCCAGCCTATCCTAAGTGTTGGGCTTAAATTTTATTTATAAGAGATTTAAGTTAAAAGGGCAATTTTATTAGAAGGTTTGGATTAGATTCTAGAAGGTTGAGGTCTTATAGTGTAAACTTGCCATAGAACCTAATTTTAA